TTACTTTTTTGGAGTTGTTGACTAGTAGCTCCTATAGACCCCCAAATAATACAGGCTATTGTCAATGTTATTAATTACCATTTAAAGTTTGATAATTAGATCCTATGGATAAAGACACAATATACTTAAGTCATACAATATACATACATATATACACACACATATATATATATATATATTATATAATGTATACATATATATATACATGCATGCACACATATACACATATATATGCGTATGTATATATTCTGTATATATGTATATACATATACACACATATATATGTATACATATTGATGAATAGTCCAACAATGACTATCTACAAACAGAAAGTCCAAAAATCTAGTAGTTGTTCAGTCCATGAGGCTGGATGTCTCAGCTAGTCTTCAGTATATTCCAGAATCCTAAAGAAATAGGCTCTAATGCCAGTGAAGGAATGGACTTGTCAGGGAGAGGAAGAGCAAGAAGGCAAAAGGTGCAAGCCTCCTTCTTCCAATTCCTATACAGCGTCTGCAAACAGAAAGTGTGGCCCAAATTAAAGGTGGATCTTCCTACTTCAAAAGATTTGTATTAAAGGTGAATGTTTCCACTTCAAGAGATTTGGATTAGAAATGGGTCTTCCCACTTCAAATGATTTAATTAAGAAAAGTCCTTCATAGGTATATCCTGCCAATTGGGTTTTAGTTAATTCCAGATGTAATCAAGTTGACAATAAAGAATAGACATCAGAGTAGGAAATGTGGTTGATCTGGGAGGGATTGGAGTGGTAAATATTATTAAAACACATTATATGAAATTCTCAAAGAACAAATAAAAATAAGATAAAATACATTTCTACATATATGTGGAAACAGTAAGTAACTTAGATTTTTGTTTTGTATGCATTAGGGATATCTGTGCTAAGGAATGGTACTGCGTATTTACTTTTAAAGGGGTATTCTAGCTCCTAGAGTCTAGACAGGGATCCTAGGATAAGAATAGCAATGCAAGGAAAATATAGGAGACTACTTCAGTAACCCAAGCTATCGATACCACTGATTTGCTCTTAGGTAGGAAGTTGTGGCTTTACAAACAAAGGAAATAAGAATGTATTTAAACTTCTACATAGTTTTATTTTGCTTTAATTTTGTTATGAAATGCTATTCTAGACTACTTATCCTGAAAAGGAGTTTGGCAAATTCATTAAGATCTAAATATGTATTTACTTGCGATCCTGGTCATTATTACAGAGAATTAAGAACTTATGTCCATGCAAAACTTTATCTGCAGATGTACAAGCATCCTTATCTGTAATCCTTCAAAGTAGAAACATTTAAAAGGAATCCAAATTGATAAATCCCGAACACACTTGCAATCAGAATGTATAATTGGGATAGGTACACTTAGAAGTTGGCAGAATTCTCACATTGGTTCCCTGTCCTGTAGAGCGATGGCTATTAGGGTTGGAAAGGCTAACTGGAAACCTTTAGTATTTCCTCTGCCAAGGAGAAGAGTAAATTGAATGGAAAAAATGGTATCACATCCCTGGAGGAACTGCAGAAATTTGTGCCACCATCAAGAACTTGAAAGATACAGGGTGATGGCTCCCAACACAGCTCCCTTTAATTCTTTTATCTAGCCAATGCAGAAGACAGATGGATCATGGGAAATGACAGTTGACCATTGAAAACTCATTCAAGTAGTGACTCTAATTGCAGCCTTTATACCAGATGTGGTGTCCATACTTCAGCAGATTAACACAAGTCCTGGTACATGATATGTATATATCTATTGATCTAGCAAATGCCTTTTTCTCAGTACGTGTCCGTAAAGATCACCAGAAGTAATTTGTTTTTAGTTGGTAAGGCCAGCGGTACAACATTACAGTTTTACCTCCAGGATATATTAACTTTCCAGCCCTGTGTCATAACTTTATAGACATTTTGCTCATCTGTTTCTTATACAAATTTTCACATTGGTTCATTATACTGACATACTAATTGGACCAAGTGAATCTAAGGTAGCAACCACTGTGAATCCATTGGTAACAAACACACACACAAAATACACAAACACACACACACAAATTCAATTAAACTTCAAGAGCCTTCTACTTCTGTGAAGTACTTAAGTTCAGTATATGGAACATGCAGAGACATTCCTTCTAAACTGAAAGATGAGTTATTGTACTTGGTACCTCTTACTACCTAGAAAGAAGCACAATGTTTAGTGGATCTATAAGGATTCTGGAGATAATACACTCCTCACTTGGCTGTGTTATCCTAGCCCATATGCCAAGTGGCTCAGAAAGCTGCTAGATTTGAGTGGGCCTGGAATAAAAGGCCCTTCAACAGGTCAATGCAGCTGCTGTGCAGGCTGCTCTACCACTTGCACCATACGACCCAGTAAATACAGTGGTACCTGAGGTTTCAATGGCAGATAGGGATGCTGTTTGGAGCTGTTGGCAGTCCTCTATAAGTGAATCATAGAAGAGACATTTGGGGGTTTGAACCAAAGTTCTACCATCATCTGCAGACAACTCTTCTCCCTTGAGCTCATGGCCTGCTACTCAGCCTTAGTAGAAATGGAACATTTGACAATGAGCCACCAAGTTACTGAGACCTGAGCCACTCATCATGGGTTGGGTTTTATCTGACCCATCAAGCTATAAAGAAGCATGTTCACAATAGCAATCAGTTATCAAACGGAACTGGTATATATATGATCTGATCCAAGCAGGTTCTGAAGGCACATCAAGTCACATGAAAAAGTTGTCCAAATGTCTATGGTTTCTACTCCTGTTTCAATGCTGTCTGCTTCCAAAAATGCACCTGTAGGTTCATGGGGTGTACCCTATGGTAACTGAGGAAGAGAAGACTAGGGACTATTTTACTGATGGTTCTCAATGTTATGCAGTCACCACACAAAAAAAAATGGACAGATGCCATGTTACAGCCGACTCTGGGACTACCCTAAGGACACCAGTGAAGGGGAATCTTCAGAGTGAGCAGAGATACAGGCAGTACACACAGTCATACAGTCTTTTGGAAGGAGAAAGGGAAAAATCTGCAGTTGTTCACTGATTCAAGAAGCATTCTTCAGGGTAAGTAGGTTATGCAACCAAGATATCTGCCTCAAATCAGAAGGACAGGCAAAGAAAATGCAGTGTGAATACTGTGCATGTGTGAGACCAAAGGAAAAGGAGTTTATGTGAAGAAATAAAAGTGTCATTGAGATATTCTTTTTAATTAAATGAAGCAAACCTCAGACAAATACTTAATGTTTTGTCTCACTTACAGCCCTTGAGTTTCATATAGTTACATAAAATCATGTGTATATGTGTATATGTCATGAAAGGAGAGGAAAATTGTCTAAGCGAATAAAAGGCTCCTAATGGGAGGGGAGCAGGGAGAAGGCTGGATGAGCTATGTCCACTGAATAATGTACAGTTGTGGTGTGGTGAATACACCCAATGAAGACTTCTTATGAAACATAAACAATTAAAATGTTTAAGATGTTCTTCAACAGATAAATGGTTAAACAGTGGTGGTCCAAACCACAAAAATGTAACCCAGAAGAAAGCTATCGACAAATTCCATTCCCATTTATCTCAAAGGCATAATTGGAGCTTAAAAGGCAACTTTTAAAAGTTTTATTTTACATGATTTCATTTTTACTACATCTTAAAATCACAAGATCATAAAGAGGTAGAGTAGATTGTTAGTTTGAAGAGATTAGGGAAGGTTGGGGAAGGGCTATAACGGCATGGAGAAGGTCTTTGTGGTGTTAAGAAAGTTATGAATCTTTTCTGCTTTGCTTTGTTTTGAGTGCTTGTATCAGTTATTTTCTTATTGCGGTAATAAAACACCATGAACAAAGCATCACGTGGAAGAAATGGGGTCATAGTTCCAGAAGGTTCGAGTCCACAATGGTGGAGCAGAAGCATGGAAACAGAGGCAGGAATCTGAAGGCTCACATTTTGAACCACAGGTAGGAAGCAAGGAGAATCAAGTTTGGAGCCTCAAAAAAGAAGGAGGAGGAGAAGAAGATTTACACTAAATTACACAGACCACCAGCAATAATGACTGCAAGGCTTATAAAACACATTCATGCTGATCACGTCTACAGCACAATCCTGACGTTACTCTAGATGTCTGAACTGGGCTTCAATGAGTCATCTAGGGCAGCTTGAAGGTGGAAATGCCTGGAAACTTTCTTTCGAGACATTTTAAAACAGCATCTAAGGTTTGAACATCTTTCATGTCTGGAACTCTGCTGTCATTCAGTCAGAATGTGGGGGCAGAGCACATGGTCTTTAGCTCTTTGAAAGGGCATTCTACTTTCAAGAACTTTGCCAAGTCACTGTAGTCAGGCACGCAAACTGAGTCTTGGACCCTGTCACTGCTACAGGCTTTCAGATCACCAATCCTTTCATTCTTTGTCACAAACTCAACTGACTACAGTGTTTGTCCAAAGGCTACATTTATGAACTTCTTCTGGCTAGCTTCAGTATAAATAAAAATAAAAACAAAAAAGAATACATCATACTGCATCCTGAAGTCCACTTTAACTCAGAAATTCAGTTATTGACTAAAATATTTTCTAACTTATGGTCTTATATCACATCCCATCTGCTTTTTTTAGGAATCCAACTGCCAACAAAACCTACGGAATGTGCCAGACACCTCCTGTCTAGATACCAGAGCTAGTTCCTTCTCCAGAGCTGCCAGGTACAACACCATGCATGGAATCAAATCACAGACTTCCCAGTCTGAGTTTTCTATCACCCACACACACACAGTTTTTCATGTGCTAATGCATTCCAAAGAATAAAATACATTCCTTGTATTTTTATTTCCTAGGGCTGAATCAAAAGTAAACCAATTGCAAATGATTTCAATTAAAGCCTTTCTTAAGAAAAAGATCATTTTGATCCAGTCAGAGTTCAGAGGCAGAAAAAAAAAACAAAAACGTAAAGACTAAAGTTGTTTTTAATAGAGAAAGGAAAAAAAGGTACTTACAGCCGACCATCATCATGGCCACTGAGAACATCTTCTCCACGTCTGTGGTCGGAGCTATGTTTCCAAATCCTATGGTTGTAAGGCTCGTCATGGTGAAGTAGAGGGAGGACACATACAGGGAGTCCTTGCTGGGTCCTCCTTCCCAGATCCCTGCACTGGTGTTGTAGCGATATGGGGTCCCAATGCTCAAGGCCAACTGGTAGAGCCAGCTGTCTATTTGAATGGTGTTTGTGACTTCATCAATGACCTCATAGTCTCCAATGCTGTACCAGATGCAGGCCAGCCAGTGGGCAACCAGTCCAAACACACATACCAGGAGCACAAGGACCGCTGCTCCATATTCCAGGTAATGGTCCAGTTTCCTAGCAACACGGCCCAGGCGTAAGAGGCGCACCACCTTTAAAGAGCTGAAGAGACTGCTGATTCCCTGTAAAAATGAAAAAATTAAATGACAATAGGAAACACTATGGTGGGCTACTTTTATAAATTTGATCACCCAATCACATACCAAAAGCATACAGATCCTAAGCAAGAAAGAAAAAGGAACAATGATAAATATTTTTCCTTAAAATGCGAATTCCACCCCACCCAGGAATAGAATATTTTGAAATTTACTAGCTGAAACATCTCCATTAGCTAAGAACTGTTCAGTCTAAGAGAATTTTCAAATGTGTTCTTCACAGGTACAGATAAAGAGGTGGTAAATTCGGGCCCATTCTTTTTTTCTTGCTATGAAAGTTTTCATTTATTCCTTACTTCCTAATAGGTAAAAACTATAAACCTTCTGAATAAGGAAACCCAGTCTGACTAGTGAGGAAACAATAAGTGTTTCAGTGCATATGAGAGCGAGAAGCAAAGATCTTCCTTATTCCCTGTGTCCTGAATCACCTGGATGGACAGAGGTAAACCTGGGGTTGGTACAAAGACTCCAAATTCCCACCATTCTCTATTTACAGTCATGCAGAAGTCATCCTAATGAAGATCAGCAAGACATTCATGTTTTTGTTGAGAAATTTATCAAAATTAAGAGAAGTCCCATAGTCAATTTCTGGAAGCATATGAGAGGTTACCTGGGGAGTAGGGTAGGCAGAGGAGTGGAGAAGAGGAAATGCATCCCTTAGACAGGATGCAAAACAGGAAAGTTAAAACAATGACCTGAGTGCTTTAAAGGAATTCATAGTTGAAATGCATGAAAACTCAGAGTTCAATTTTTTAAAAAGTTAAATGCTGCTGTGGATGCTGTTTTCTAGGTAGCTTGAATATATGAAAAATGGTGGGGCTTCTCTTTAAATGCTTCATTTAAAAAAAGTTATCTCTGCTTGAATTCTTCTTCATTAAAAACAAGGAAAATCAGAGGAGATACCATTACCCCCATTTGAACTAATAGATTGCCACAAGCCCTAGGTAGAATGCACGAATTAGAATCTACCAGAAAGAGAAAGAGAGGATTCATCCCAAAGGAACCAGGCCAGCCTGAAGCACAACTGCTGTGAGGCCACTTACTCAAAAGTGTGTTCCCCACAGCCTAGCCCAACTTAAGTAATACGTGGGCTTTGTGAACTTAGATTTGCTTCCATGACCACCTGTTTCTTTTTAACTTATTTTCAACCAATTCCCCAACTGGCATACTTTGCAAAATCATCTTCCAAGGCTTCTCCATGTTTCTTTCATGGTCTGGAATTCCCATCATGCATGCCTCTAGCCCTTTTAAGGTTTCATTGGAACACCTCTTTGCAAAATGCTCAACAGAAATCCCATTTGAGTTTCTGGAACAAGAGGCAAGCCTGCTATGTATTTCCATGTGACTGCCCCACAGATGCCAAAAGTGGAGAGGGCACAGGGATGCCTCACTTCTCCCATCTCCATCTTTAACCCCTTATCCTGTAGTGTACATCACTGTTACCAACCTGGTCTATGAGTCTCAATTCTCTCCTCTTTCTGACAGATCAAGTGTTCATCACTCAAAGCACCCAAGAGCGACACTTACCCAGATGATGAATTTATCAAAACGTTTCTTTCTTTTTGCTCCTATGGCTATACCTTGGTCCTGGTTCCATGCTTCGTTCAGTGTTAGTCATTGTTGCTGTGTTTGTTACACTTGTGTGGTGCAAGCAACCACTTCTTACTTCCTACAAGTCCCAAATCACACACTACAAGCTGCTAGCATAGGATCTCTAAAACTTACATCTGTCTAGTCATGTCTTCTTCTGACTTAAAACCATTTCCTACTATCTTATTATTCATAGGATTAAATATTACTTTCCTATTGTAACATTGTGAACCCTCGATGACCTGGTCCTAATCTACCCCAGCCACTCCTCTCTGTGATTGCTAGGCTACTGCGGGATCTGCTTACCACAGTGAACACAATCCCAGGCTGCCCCACATCACATTGCAAATGGGTCATTCCTGCTACTTAACCAATCCTTTCCTCCCATTTTCTTGATGGCTGGGATCTTACATCATGGCAAAGAATCTCTTCTCCACTATCCTCACTGCTCTTCTCTCGCCTTTTCTCCCCACTGAGAACTGGCTGTTTAGCTTTGTGTCATCATACGCTCTTTGCACATCTCTAGTAAAGCAATTATCACAATCACACTTTATTACAAATCTGTTTCCATGCATGACACGCCCGGAAACTAGAAACTCCTTGAGCAGTCTATCTAGTGTCAGCTACCAATCAGGAAGTTGAATCTACATTAAGCAGTCAATACAGTCCTTAAATGAAGGAATAACTTTAAGAACGGGCAAATGTGGGGCTAGATCTGGGTGCTTTCGCTATGGCTAACAAACTGACTTGCCAGCATAATGTGGAGAAGAAACAATGATTGCAACTTTACATTGCATGAATAGAGTTCAGAAAATGAAGAGGAAAGAGAAATTTTCACTATGTCTTCACTGGCCAGGCCACACAGTTAAAAGGCACAAGATTCACCAGAGAACAGCAGAGAAAGAACTAAAACCCATAGACTTTGGGAAATGGAAAAGAAACTGAAGAAATGGAGAATGGACAGGACATAGCTACATTCCCATACACAGGCCATGTGTGAGAGTGAACTCATTCTGTGGAAACCTAACCTGAGCAGCCTGGCTCAGGGTTGGCCTGACATGCATGGACAGATGTACCAAAGACATCAATAGCTATGGTCATGTACTCCACACAGAGAGCCGAGCAAAAAGTTGACTCATTCACTGCTGCTTCAAAAAGACAATCTAGGTGATAATACATACCATGTCCTCGCCACACACCGGGTTCTGTTCTCTGTGTTTTCCATATGTGAACTCATTTATTCTTGGAAACAACTCTATGTGATAAGGATCATGAAAACATGATCCAGAAAAGTTCAGTCATTTCAAAAGTTTACACAGCTACTAAAGAAAGATTTGAGAACAAACATGAGCGATCTGGCTTCAGACGCTTCGCTCATTTGAAACTCAGTCTGCAGAGAGCACTACGCTAACCTGCAAGCTGGCTCATAGTAGAGTTATTCTCTATAGAATAGAAATCATTATCTATAGAAAGAATAAAGATGACACATCTAAGCACCCTTGGCAGGACTCAGTCACAGCAAAAGTCACAGAGGATGGTCTATGGAGATACATAGTCCCAGGACACGGGGCAAGGCATTTCATTTTACAGTAGTGGGATTCTGACTTTCATTGCTCACAGGAGAGTAGAGAGGCTTCCAGGTCACAGCAAGCAAGCAATGACAACATCACCCAGGCCCAGACATCAAGGTTCTTAACACATTCTTCACAACAACCACATGCTTTGTGATCTTCTGTTCTGTACCCCAATCACATCCCTCATAGTCCCAACAATGTAAATCTTGCTAAACACCAGGATTGAGAACATCCTCTGAGGCCTCTAAACACACTCTCTTCTGCTGGGCTTTGATAACCACATGCCCATCTTTGCCTACACTCTGGGTCATTTCTCATTATTTTTGTACATAACAATAATGCATCAGACCTTTCTGCTACCAAAAGCCATGCCAAACTTCACCTTAGAACTTGCCTTCAGTGTTCAATTTATTGTTGTTTTATCTCATCAGAAATTGTTATCCAAAGTTAATAGATAAATAAGTAAGTTGGCTTTGTTCAGAAATTCTCCTCCATCATTTTGTATCAAAATGAATCTCATGCTCTCCTTACAAATAAATAATTGGAATGATCTAAAGCCAAATGTCCATCCTTGCAGAATGGATAAGAGATACTATCTTCATTCAGTAAAATACTATTGAAAAATAAACTAGAATTATATCTAATTAAGGGGAATAAGTGTAAAAATGTCATAATAAGCAAAATCAAAATACCAAAGAATATATACGATATGATTGCATTTTTGTGAAAGTCAAAAAAGAAGATAAATTACCCCATTGGTTTAGAAGGAAGGAGATAATCTTTCATTGTTGGGGAAGGGATAATGCTGAGGAGTTTGCCTTGTGAAGTTCCATGAACTCTTTGCCTAATGTTGATATGCTTCTCATGAAGAAAATCAGGAGACCCCATGGTCTTGCCTGTGATGCTAAAATATCACCAGGTACAGGTGCAGATAACGGATCCCTCGCTCATCCTGTTACTACAGAGTAGAAGTAGCCAAAGTCTATTTTCTAAACTTATGGTTCATTCCTATGACCTTCACAATAGGGCACACACTGGATTTAATTCACTAGTAACTTCCTTTTCACTCTTCTGATAATACTGGGTACTTTTACAAACATATCTTCAAAAACATCTCTCTTATTCTACCCATACTTTTAACAACAATTTCTTGATTCTCTATTTTCCACCAGTGCTATGGGTTCTTTCATTTTCTGCTTCATTTCACTCCAGTCTTCACAGTCTTTTTGTGCCCTCCTCTGCACCCCATAGCTTTTTGCCTTACTCTAACCTCTGAGATCTCACAGCACGAATCACTGGGGCTCTTCTGGTAGAAAAAACATCAAACACAGCAAATGTGTAATAGAACACAGCAGGATTAATGGGTGGACTCTTCGGCTTCCCATCTCCTTCCCCATCTTTGCCAGTGTCCTTCCTTGAGAAGACCCCCGGGGCACAGGAGAGAAAGGAACATCCTAGAGCAAGATAAATCTCACGCTATAAACTCTATCTTCGGTTTGTGGATTGCCACTTTAAGAAGTCCTATCAAGGATAAAGCCATCTAAAACACTCATCGAGCCAGTCAGTTGTTCAGCATTCACTCTAGTAGACATGGAACTCAGCCAATATCCCTTCCTGCTTTCTTCCTTTCCTTGTTGTGTAAACATAAGAAGAATAATCAAAGGACTTGCCTCTCCAAGGGTTCCATGACAAGTAAGGGAAAGCAAAAGAGCAGATATTGAAGCACAGTGTCCTTCTGTGTGGCTTCATACCTACCTATACCTTGCCATCTTGCAACACAGAATTCTGTGACAGACCAATTTA